CAGATCATCGGTCAAGGCAACCATGGTAGTCTCAACCCCAAAGCCTGTTCTGAAGCCGGTTTGAAATGATGATGGTATGTTTATAGAGGTTCTCTGATTTGTCACAACAGCTTTTTGTTTATTTAATTTATTTATTTGATGCTTTTTAGTGTTTTTTGATTCAACAGAATCCTCAAACATTTTAAATAAAAAAGTGTGTGTTGCCTGTCTTCAAGTTATTTCTGACATGGTGAACCTATCATGGGCTTTCCTTGGCAAGCTATGTTCAGAGGAGGTTGCCATTGTCTCTCCCTGAAGCTGAGCATGTGATTTGCCCATGGCCACCCAGCGGGTTTCATGGCTGAGCGGGGAATTGAACCCTGAACTCTAGAGTTCTAATCCAAAACGTAAACCACTATGCCATGCTGGCTGTCCCCAAATATTTGGTAATACATCAAATAGCACAATTTAAAACCAAGCTTGAAAAAAATAGAGGCAGAGTTAAAAAAGTTTAATATTTATTATGTGACATAAAGTTTCCCACACATCATTTTGTAGTTTGTAATGTTCCATACAGTGAGTGTTCATGCCACTTTCTTCTATCCCAGTGAATATTTTTCAAAGAAAGCTGAAGAAGATAAAAGAAAAAGGGAAGCTGAAAAAGACAAAGAAACCCAGGAGGCTGCGCTTCCTGTTTTTCAACCTCCACCTGCCACAACTGCTTCTGGAAAAAAGAAAGCCACCAAACCAGGTTATCCAATACAGTTTGCATTTGATAAAGACAATTTCAGTTTTTAAAAGGCATGCTGCTATGGCACTATATATGTATCTTTTCTCTTTATATAGATGCATGATTGTGGAAAGGAAAGGCATACGTGGTTGTCCAAGGAATGCTGCTGTTTACAAAATTCTGCATAGGATGTTCACTCTAATTATTTATTTATTTATTCATTCATTTTATAGCCTGCTTGTCTCTTATGTTCGGCCCTAAGTGACTGTACATTAAACAAAATAGTTAAAACCATCCACATACAAAAAAATTTAAAAGCATTAACCAAAAATTCCTTTGAAAGCATATAGAATAGTTAAAAGCACATTAAAACCTATTATATATTAAAAACCACCACATCTGTTCTGCTACTCCAACCAGCTAGAAGGTGAAGGCCTGTTTAAATAAGACAGTCTTTAGTCTGCTGGCAAAAAGGGAGCAGTCTCTAAGAAGAAAATTCCATAGCTTGCGAGCAGTCACCAAGAACTTTCTTTCTTTCTTTCTTGGATCCTCCTCCCATTTTTAGCCTATTTATGTCCTCTCATGCTGCATTGTTTGATGAGAGGGTTTGAATTCAAGTAAAGGCCCACTCCCAATTTCATGATACCAAGTAAAGCCATAGAATCTGAATAGGGGGGAATGGGGGACTGTAGAGTGATGGTCCTAACAACTTTTCCTTTGTTGGTATGTGAGGTTTTGGCATGTGGGTTTCTTCATTAAGAAAAGATTGGGAAATGCTGCCTTAAATTATCTTGAACTCCAGCTTTCCTTTCTTGACCAATGTCAAATGTATATAACCAGAAAATCAGGTAGTACCCCTAAATCAGAAGCTGTATTCTGTGTCCTCCCGCATAAACATGCATCCTTTGTCAGGCATGTATATATGGGGAAGAGGGATGAGAACATTGGTTCCCAATACAAATTTTGTCCCCCAAATGAAATTTTCCTTCAGTTCTCAAAATTCTGGCATTGCAGAGAATGAGACATTGAAAATGGTTCATACCTAGAACCCTTATGCAATGGGTCCTTGGTATCCGCTGGGGTTTGATTCCAGGGTCCCCATCCCCATGGATAACAAAATCTGTGGATATTCAAGGCCTGTTATATACAATGGCATAATAAAATGGTGTCCCTTATATAAAATGGAAAATTAAGGTTTGCTTTTGGTATATATATAATATTTTCAAGCCATGGATGGTTGAATCCATGGATTAAAAAAAAAAAAGTCTGTGGATGCGGAGGGCTAACTGTATTTGCTGTGTTCACTTTCTCTCGGTAGCTGTGACTATCCCATTTCTTTGGTTGCCTAAACTGTCCTTCAAAGTGTTCACCTAAAGTTTTAAGTGCTACAGTTCTAGAAATGCATCTAGTGGGGACTGAAACAAAAATTCATTGGTTAGCAAAATTCTCATTTGGGGAGGGGGTGCTCTCATTTTACCCCCTCCCTGGTAGCTACAGAACTGTACTTTCTTGGGGGAGGCAGTATAATTGAGTCTACTAAGAATAAAATAAACAGAAGGAATGTGAAAGAGCACACTGACTGCTGTAAGATTTACATTAGCTTGGCTGCATTTCGGTAGGCAGAGGATAAGATGCCTGCCATTTGATTTGGTTGCCAGCCATATAAGACATCCCCCCCCCCCCCGGCAACTTTTTTCCTATGGAAGCAACATAGAAAACATGGATATTTGGCTGCAAATGTAATAATCAGTCTCCTACTATCCTCTGTTGAAATTAAGGCAAATGTGTCTAATGCTTCTGTTCTTAGGCTTTTGGTGTTTGACTCGCTACTGTGATTATTTCCATTATTTGGTTGAAAAGATAGTACATGTGCAGGTTATTTACCTTTAGGTACAGTTGTATATAAATTATTCTCAGATGCTTCATGTTCACACATGTAATGTTTACTTTTTTGAGTGATAAATATAGTGGAAATTGTATTGATACTTTGACAACATGGATGATGTAGTTTTAATTGTGATTGTTGATTTCAGAGTAGTTCTAAGTGGAACTAGGGAGGAGTGAAATGATAGATTTACCACCTCATCCACATTCTTACTGGCTCAGGCAGGGCTGCCCAAGGCTACCTGTCTGTCTATGGTTTTTTTAAATGTTGTCTAGATCTATCTCTCTCATTCATGGTTGGGTGAGAATTAGCTATATCAACTCTAGGTCTGTGATAGCTAGCAGACCTAGATTGGGCCCTTTGTGCATCTAGAGAAATAGATCAGCTTTGTCCTAATGACTCTAAAGTCAGCTCCTGCGCATCTGTGGAAAACCTTTTCCTACATGCTGTTGCAGCCATTAGATTTCCTGGACACAGAATCCTGGAGGCTGTCAAAGCGAGGTAACAATGCACTATTCCAATCCCATTTCAGACATCAGTATTTATGAGTATTGCACAATTAAATGAATATAAAATAAACATATTTTACTTTTTTTGCAAAAAATATTCAGTTAATCTCTTAATGAGAGTCACTGTGGCATAGTGGTTTCAGTATTGGATTAGGACATTGGGAGACCAGGGTTCAATTCTTTACTTGACCATGGAAACCCACTGGGTGACTTTGGGCGAGTCATACCTTCTCAGCCTCAGAAAACCCCATTATAGATTCACCTCAGGATCACTAAAAGTCGAAAATGTCTTGCATGTACACCACAATAGAGATTTTAAATGATGTAAAGATATTTTATTGAACGGAAGCATTATATTGCATCCCTCAAAACATTCATGTATGTCCTATAAAAGACTTCTTAGTGCCCAGTACCTTGAAATGATTTGTTGCTTCTTCAATATAATCACGAATGGTACCTACTTATGCATTTTGGCAGTGATCTTACTGGGACCCCTCCAAACCTAAACTAAGGGCCTTTACAGACTTCCAAAAATAATGCAACTTGAGGCCACTTTAACTGTCCTGGCTCAGTGCTAGGGAATCATGGGAACTGTAGTTTATTGTGGCACAAGAGCACTCTGACAGAGAAGGCTCAATGTCTCAGAAAAAACTACAGTTCCCATGATTCCCTAGCACTGAGCCAGAGCAGTTAAAGTGGCCTCAAGCTGCATTACTTCTGGCAGTCTGTAAAGGTCCTAGGATTGATTTTGTCATGGTGTGGCAACTCAAACTATCTCATCCTCAGAGGAAGGCAAGGATGAATCCCCTCTTAACAAATTCTGTCAAGAAAACCCCGTGATAGGTTCACCTTACAATTGCCATAAGTCAGAAATTACTTGAAGGCACACAACAACAACATTTCCTCTTAATAGCATCAATAGAAGCAAAAAGGGAAGTTCAAACTCCAAGAGTAGAACTTGCATTCTGTGGCGAATTAAACTAATTTCTGAGTATTTCTGGAGCATATGTCCTATTCAAATTCTGTTTCATCATATTTGATGCCTTATCCCTAATTTTTCTTAGCTGTGCATTCTGGATGTAAAGAGGCTCAAATATATAGTATGCCTCAAATTAAAGACCTCTTTAGTTGTATCTCTGCATAGAGTTCTGTAGTTGTGCTTGGGAGCATTTATGTTCTGCTGTTCAAAAGTACCATTAAGTGCTTAGATTAAAGGTCAGATTTTTCAAAGGCGCTCAGCACCCACAACTAGTGTCAGATTTTCAAAAGATGCCAGCTTCTGTTTGGGAATCAGAGTAAACCATTGGATGATAAGGATTTGAGGACATAAATGTCACAGTGGGGGTTGATGGTTGCTAAGTTCTGTGCTACAAAAATCTAGCCATTATTAAGGTATCTAAGTGGGAGCTGAGTAATTTTCAAAATGTACCTTGGATTCTGAGTTTTGTACATGTAAAAGTCTAGATCTGAGGGTATTGGAAGATAAAGGGCATAATGTCAAAAACCAGGAAAGAAGAAAGGAGAGAAATAAGCATAGTTCTGGCCAAGACTAAAACAAACCAGAGCAGTAGTTGAAATATCAGATCATTACATCTTGGGACAAAGTTGGTTAAAGTCTAATGTATTAGTGGTAGGACCTTATCCCACGCTGCTCTCAAAAGTGGCAAGAAAGCGATATGAGCATCATTGCAGTACTATAGCGCTAGTATAAATATGGCGCTAGCGCTATAATAGCGCTATGGATAAGCTCGCGCTATTGCAATGCCCGCTGAAACCGACATTCAAAAGAACCCGAATGATGCTGCATTCCGAGCGGTTTCTTGTTGGATTCTGAGCGACGTCGTGTAATCACCCGGAAAACTATAGCGCTATAGCGCCTGATTCTTAGCAGATTCTGAGCGACGTCGTGTGATCACCCGGAAAACTATAGCGCTATAGCGCCTGATTCTTAGCCGATTCTGAGCGACGTCGTGTGATCACCCGGAAAACTATAGCGCTATAGCGCCTGATTCTTAGCCGATTCTGAGCGACGTTGTGTGATCACCCGGGAATGTATAGCGCTATAGCGCCTGATTCTTAGTGGATTCTTGCTGCTTTTGGCCCCGTGGGATAAGGTCCGTAGAAAATCAATTGAAAAAAGTGGCTAAATAGAATGGAATTTAAAGCAGAATTTGGATGCCAGTTCTCAAAATATTCATTTCTGTGGTAACTTGTTTAACTCAATAGAACTGCTGTAGTGAAAGGAACCTGTACATTAATTTCCTTTGACTTAACAGTGTAGAGCTGTTGGGGAAGGTATGGGCAGT